CAAGTTTGGTTATATTAGTTCTTACTAGATTTCTTGTGTCATTGCTCTATTTCTCCTGGGATGCATTCTCGTTGATCATTATTGAACTCTGACAAAGCTACTGATTATTATAAGGCAGATATTTATTTCAAAATCATCCAGTTTAATAACCTTCTTATTAGTCTAGTAGTTTATTGATTCTCTTTAGTTTTCCAGAAGGATATAATCATCATTTTAAAGTAATGATGTTTGACCCCCTTTCCTGTACTTAGATCTCTCATTAGTTTTCTTGTGTTATTGTGATACCTATGGCCTTGACCAGTACGGTAGTCACAGTGGCTGCTGACATTTAAGTTAAGTTTAAATTTCGTTTACATGAAATGAAATTAAAAATTAGGTTCCTCAATTGCACTAGCCACATTTCAAGTCCCCAATAGCCACCTGTGGCTTGTGGCTACCATTAGTTACCATTTTAGAACATTTCCATCATCACAGAAAGTTCTACTGGTGGCTGCCAGTATGAAATATTAATATTTAGATCAATATTAAATAATAATCGTACAACAGGTTGTCCTGTTTTCTTTTCCCCCCTAACTATAAAGTGAATACCTCTACATAGTGATTTACTATTCAATGATGTCAAGTTTTGAATTCGCATGTCTAGATACTTTTTTTATTGTGTTGAAAAAGTTTTATCCCATTCCTAGTTTTCTAAAAGTATGTATTTTTAAAACTTGGAATGGATAATGAATTTTAATACCTTCTTGGCATAAAATGTTTTGGTACAGAAGAGACAAGTCCCCACTCATTCTTCAAAATTGTCTTACCTGTGCTGGTTCTTTTTAGATACATTGCTGGATTTTGTTTGACAGCATTTTATTAGGTGTCTTCAATGAGCTTGATCTCAAATATTCTCTACTTCTAGTGTCTTTGTCTAGTTTTTTTTAAAAAATGAAGATTATGTAATTATAAAATGAATTAAGATTTTTTTTCTCTATTTGCTTTGTATGTTTTAGATATGGATCATCTGTCCTTTATTTATTTATTTTTTTAAAAGATTTTATTTATTTATTCATGAGAGACAGAGAGAGAGAGAGAGAGAGAGAGGCAGAGGGAGAAGCAGGCTCCCAAGGAGCAGGGAGCCCAATGCAGGACTCAATCCCAGGACTCCGGAATCATGACCTGAGCTGAAGGCAGACGCTTAACCATCTGAGCCACCCAGGCGCCCTGATCCTCTGTCCTTTAAAGTCTTACAAAACTTGGGTGAAAAGAATCTGGCTCTGGTGCTTTGGCTGGATTTTCTTGTCTTTCTTTTCTAGTTCATGCATGTCATCTTCCCCTCTGTCTAATCACACTGCTAAATCCATCCATTAAATTGCAATTCAGTGAATAAAATTTTTTAACTCTAGAATTTACACTAGATTCTTCTGCAGATCTGCTTTTGTTGAATGGTCTTCCCCTTGGTCTTACTGATCTCTCTACACACTTTAAATGCGTTTATTTACATGATCTTTCAAATTGTTCTCCAGTCCCTTTTTCTTGCTTGTTCTCCCCTTTGTTTCATCCATCTTCATCTGGTTGGGCATGTGGTGCTGTGAGCTCTTCTTCAGTGGGGGCTGTTGGCCGCAGGAGTGCTGTATGTTGGCTTAGATGTGCATTGCCACTGCCAGGGCCAAGGGATCAGAATGGTCATGGACACATTCTGGGGTTTGTTTCCTGACTTGGTGCTTCTCTATCATCTGGGTGGTATAACAACTTAACTTTACTCCCTTGCTTCTTTGAGTCACTGAGCAGCTTTTCCAATCCCAGTTAATGTGTGGTATAGCCCTTTGGAGCTGAATTTCTGCAGGGGGCTCTGTTCTTGCCTGCTGCCTTGCACAAGCTGATGTCCTATGTCTGCATCAGTATTGGGATCTCGGCCGGCAGACCCCCAGGGCTAGAGCCTCCACAGCTTTGCTTCCTGCTTAGATTTTGCATTCCCTTTTTTATTTTCTATACCTGAGGGTTTCCTTCTTTTGAGCAGGGTCACACATTACATTTTTTAAAGGTTTTATTTATTTATTTATTTATTTAGAGTGGGAATGGGGCAGGAGTGGAGGGAGAGGGAGAGAGAGAGACTCTCAAGCCAACTCTCTGCTGAGCATGGAGCCTGATGTGGGGCTCGATCCCATGACCCTGAGATCATGACCTGAACCGAAATCAAGAGTGAGACGCTCAACTGACTGAGCCACCTGGGCACCCCTGGAAATTTTAAAATCATATTTCATCCAGAATTTTTGGATCTAGTATATTGAATGCAAGTCCAGAAATTGTTTTAGATTTCTAAATGGTTGATTCATTGATTTTATTTTTAAGCAAAGGAACGTGGGAGAGAAGTAGGTGTTATATTTAAATATTGGCATTTTGTTTGTGTCAGTACGATAAATGTTCATAGCTATTTAAAAACATATCTATTTATCTGCTCTATATCTTTAATTTTTTTATTATTCATTCAAAGACTTAGAAAGTCACGTTAGCATCTTCCACTATAAATCTAATTCTTCAATTTGTTCTTTTATGTGTAGTTTTGGCTTTATAGAATCTGCTATTGTATTATTTGTCAAGGACTATGGGGCCTGCCCCATGTTTGAACTGGCTGGAGCCACAACAGTCCTAGCTTCATTACTGGGCCATCGATTAATCTTTTTCTCATTGATAATGGCATTATATTCTCTTCCTGTTATAAAATCTAATGCAGCATTTAGGAAAAAATCTTGAAAGAGGAAATACATACTATAAAAATGAAAAGAGAATGTTTTAAAACTTGGGATCTAGAGATAGGAAAGGAGATTGGGAAAAGTAAAGGAATCTAAATTTATTTTATTTCACAGAGGTGACTCAGTAGAGACTGTTACATCCATAAGGTTGAGAGAAAAATCTAAATTCAACTATGTTGTATTTTAAAATTTATTCATCTCTTCTGTCCTCATAGTTTCTTGTTCATATCATTTACTGAATGGAAATGAGCAGGTGAATTAATGAACAAAGGACAAGTGTTTTTTTTCCAATTACAATATCTCCCCCTTGGGATTTTATTTATTTATTTATTTATGATTTTATTTATTTATTTGACAGAGAGACACAACAAGAGAGGGAACACAAGCAGGGGGAGTGGGAGAGGGAGAAGCAGGCTCCCCGCTGAGCAGGGAGCCTGATGTGGGGCTCGATCCCAGGACCCTGGGATCCTGGGATCATGACGTGAGCAGAAGGCCAGCGCTTCACGACTGAGCCACGAAAGCGTCCCCCCTCCCCACTTGGGATATTTTGAATAACTGTATGTTTGAGTGTAGGAGAATTGCTTGCAGGATGTCATACACCTGAGTCACTGCCTTCCTCTGCCCCAAACTGTCAGCGCTGTTGCAGCAAGCACAGGGGGGCTTGTGGCTTCAGCCAGATCCCTACCGCTATGACCTTTATTTGTTTTTGAATACGAATGAGGTGGAGAGCCTGTGCAGGTGTTTGCAAGTCTATATGAGGAAAGGAAGAGAATAGGAAGAAAGAGGATGAGTTGGGTTTCCCAAGAAAGAAAATTTCATAGAGAAGCTGGAAGACAGGCCTTCAGAATGTCACTCTACAAATCCAGAGCACATCCGCAGTTCATGTTCTACTAACACAGCATCTCTGTGTAACCTTTCAGGCAATGGCCACGCCGCACCCCATTTTCATTCATCTTTAGAGCCGGGTTGGGTCCGAAGGCTCGCTTGTCTAGGAAGCCTACGTGGGAAGGCTTGACATCTTTGAGGTTAACCCTCAGGACTTTCTGATCTTAGATTTGAGATTTTGGCTAAGAAGAGAAGGCGGGTGTATTTGAGCGACATCACGATCAAAGAGAAGAGAAAGGAGGAACTCAGTAGAGTGCACAAGTCCAACCTTCACACTATTGACTAGTTGGGGATTTTTCAAAATGATTTCAAATCGCATGTACTTTTTGCATATGTGAGAGCATTTCCAAGTATCAAGAAAATGAACTGAATGTTTCAAATGTTTGGAAATATTCCAAGGCCAGGAATTCCAGATGTTTGTAAGGAAGACAGTACCTATCTCTGTTTAAATATTCAAGGGGGTTTTAAGAGGTTAAGGAGGAAAAAAGCCATGCCCCTCAATTCTTCCTTTCTAGAAGCAAGACGGCACCTATGCCATAAGGCTATGAGGAGGCCGACCCTAGAGTCACAGCCGAGTCAATAACCGTGTGTCTGCCCTGCTCCTTGATCCTCCTCCCTCCCACAGCGACTGTGGCACAAAGATGTGAAACATTTAGAAGGACACAGCATTACACAAAATGTAGTATATTCTTACCATTTGTCACTGCAGATAGTGAATAATAACCAGGGCTCCTGGCCATCTGTCCTCCCCATAACCAGACTTCCCCACCTCTCCTGGACAGCCGCACGAGTCACACATGTCTTTAAATTAAGAACTTGTCTGCTACAAACATCTTGTAAAAGTGCCAGTGTCATGACAATTCATTCTTCGCATGAAACGCACTTCGTTTTCCTTCCATATTCCTGTATTTCATGTCAGGTATTCACTGTGATGAGAATTTCTTGGCCACTCGAGGCAAGAATCATCCAGATTGGAAAAACTTCCAGAATCTACACAGGCAAGCCTAACAGTTTGCCTTTTGGTTTATTCAGAATTCATAAATTTAGACCACCTATTTTTCACTCTTATGCTTGACAGTACCTAGTCCTTTGTTAAGGAACACCCAGCTTCCCAAGCTTTAAGCACCCAGCGCCAGCACTGCCACCAGAGAGAGAGACTTAGTGCAGACCTCAGTGGACTGAGACTCAGGTGCCCTTCTGCCTTTCCTGACAGGAACAAGGACAGCTTCGGGGCCAGATAGGGCCCCTCGGGAGGCCCGTCCAGCAAGGAAGGCCCTTCTCCGTGCGGTCCCCTGTGCGGGACCAGGTATGTGGCAGATGGAGCTGGGGCCCCCCTCCCCAAAGCAGGCTGAGCAGACCCACAACTCTGCAAGAACTTACTGAGGGTGACTGACTCGTTGATCTTGAAGCTGCAGAGGACCCTGTCCACGTTTCGGGCATGTCGGAAGCCGTTTCCTCTTACAACTACTTGAAATGATTCTGAAAGGAATAAGGACAAGTCACGTCATCTGACTGCAGTCCGTTAACCTTATGTTTTCCACCTGCCCTGACGTAGGGCATTTGTTAACTGTTTCGCCAGGCTTAAAATATTTGGACGCTGGCTCAAGTTGGAACCCAAAACCACGTGGGTGCCTTTTACCACTTACTTACCACCTCCTTATCACTAGGTGTCCACGAGGAAGGCGTATGATGTCTTACTTTGAATTCCTACCTTCTTGCTTCTTTGCCCTTGTTTTTCCTCCTACCTGGAATGCCCTGCTCCCCGCTTCTCTGTCCATTCAAATCTCACCCGTCTCTCAAGTCCTGGCAGTTTTAAAAGCTGTGATCCCTGCAGCCAGGGCGACCACAGAGGAGGGGGCTCGCCACCTCTCCTCCAATCAACTCAGCATCTCTTGTGTCTGGATTCCCCTGAAAGGATTTCTGTAGAGCCTGAGGTGACTAAATTTTTTATTTATTTTTTTTTGAAAATCATTGTCTTATGGCATCCACAGTCTGTCCTGAATGGTGTGGCAAGGGATTTTGCACTGTCTGGTGGTGGTGTCTTTTCTTCCACCACTAGAGAAACGTTGCATTAGGTCAGGAATTATTTGACACTGCTTCAGGTCCTCCTGTCTCTGCTGGGCATACAGCAGTAGGACCTAGGATTATGTGGGAATGGTTGTACTGAGCAACAAATCAAAATCTTGTTTATCCAGTGGCCACTGTCCGGCATCATCTGCTTGAATGGAAGATGGCCCCTCAGTGTAGCACTGGCTTCTCTCTAAACAGAAGAGAGAATATCACTTGCAGGTCTCTGGCCCTGCATGTTAATTTCACATTGCCATAATGCATGGTGAACTCATACAGGTTAAGAAAATCCCTATGGAATAAAAATAGTGATCCTTTACAATAGTCTTACAAAAAGAAAAAAAAAACAGCGAAATTAGCTGATTGTTTAGAAATACTTGCTTAAGTTTGATAGTAACTAATAGTCCATGCTCTATTTTTTTCTTTCTTTCTTTCTTTTTTTTTTTGGTCATTCTTTTGTGTATAAAAATTGGGGCTTTGGATAATGCTGGGTGGCATTTAAGAAAGAAATAGACTAAAAGTCAGAGGGAAAAGGCAATATTTGTGAAAGTGGATCCTGAACTGTAAATTGCTATACCAAGGGACATTTTTGTTGGAGGAAGAATAGAATTAGAGAACTAGACTCTTCCAAAGTTTAATAAAATGTCATGAGTGCAAGTCACCTTCATTCCCAGGAAACTAATTTAGAGATCATATATGCCAAGGTAATATTACCAGTTACTAACGGCTCCCTCATTGGGTGACAAGTCCTGTGCTAAGCCTTGTCTATGTCCAACGTCATTTCAGCCTCACCACAGCCCAGGCAGGTGCAAATGAGAAAACTGAGCCGAGTGGGGTTCGGCCTCATTTGTCCCAGATCTCACGGCTTGTAGCTGTCAGAGGAGAGTGGGGAATCCAGGTGTGTCGGGCATCAAATGCCATGCCCGTAGGACTCGGCCATTATGTTGAAATGGATCATCATCGTCTATGACGTGTGACCAATTTAGAGACTGATGCTGTGATTTTTAAAAGGTTTATTTTATTTTAGTTTTAGACAAGTTTGCAGAAAAGTGGGGCTGGCCCGGATGGGGAAGCAAGAAGCAAGAAATTGAAACCCAAGCAAGCGAACCCGGAGGTACTATATGTGCCACAAAGAATACAAATTAGAATAGAATGCTTTTTGGAAGCACAAAGGACCTTAACAATAAGGAAATTGAGATTTTGACATTTTAAATGACTTGCCCAAGGTCATGTAATTTGTAAGCAAAACAGGGAGTATCCAAGTGTTCACTGCTTTAGTTAAGGTCGTGGGCAAATGGTTTTTCAGGATCACAAGTCCTATGAATATTAAGGATTAACATATGCATGTTGATGCATGTGCACGATTGCTAAGTTTAGAAGGATGGACTTAATAATTTTCTTTAGAAGTCTGCCAGGCATGTGGCTGATGACGCAGTTGCTTCAACAAGCATTCTATTAAGTGTCAAGCATTGTGGAAGAATCTTATTGTATCTCATTTACTCATTTAAGCCTATAGAAAGCCTATGGAAAGCTATGTCTGCTTTTTATTTTGAATGTCAGACACCCAGCAATCTGCCGTTGGACACTTTTGCTGATGCAACATGTTTTCGGCCTCACTGCTGTGCTCCTTCTCCTGTTTCCTCAAACATTAGCGGAGGGAGACAAGACTCTGGAAATGCAGGCCCCGTGCCAAGCTCTCTTCTCTAACACCATGTTCTAGCATTACCAGTTCAGCTGCTGAAGCCTCTGTAAAAAAAAAAAAAAAAAAAAAAAAGGCTGCCCGCATGTCTGCTTGGCCTGACCTCAGGGTGTTTAGAAAGAATGACAGCCGGAATCCATGACGTGGCCGCGGCGGAAAGGGAACAATTTTAACCCTCTGGGCCCGGGGAGAAGATGGGGGGCAACGATGCTCGTGGAAGCACAGCAGAGCAGAGGCGCGCTCCCACCCTGCTGGGTATGGTTTTGTGCTCCTGTGCACATTTGGTTTCCAGAAGAGCCCAAACGTCTGACCCTGCAGCCCGACTGGAATGTCAGCTCGTCACACATACAAGTTATGTAACAAAACTCTGTCTCCTGAATCTGCCAGCAAGTGAGAACCAGGACACACCAGAACCAGGACAGATGATTTAAGTTCATGTATGCGGAAAGCCCTAGACCCACCTTTCACAATATGTAAAGCTAAGTGTTTTTAGGCAATTTGCCTGTTGGGTGACTGCTCCTACAAGAAGTGCCGAGGGATTGTAGGGCTTTAGGGAGGAATTTCTACTTGAAAATGATCTTTGATCCAATGTTTTAAGATATATATTCTTTGAGGTATATGTTTATTATGATTCTTTCGTCACTTTATTCTCAATTATAATTTAAACTTCCTGATAGTAGAGGCCATCATTTCTGTTTCTTTAAAATTTTTGACTGTGCCTAACCCAGGACTTAGTCAGCTTCAGTATTGGCTGAATAAATTAGTGACATATCTTGGTATAGAAACGGAATAAAGAAGAAGGAGAAGGTCGTCCTTTATTCATGTATGGTCAGGTCTAATCCTGCTTATTTTCTGAGGTTTCATAAAGTCAATGAATGGAAAGATTCTCAACACCATTAATCATTAGGGAAATGTAGATCAAAACCACAACGAGATATCACTCCATACTCACTTGAATGGCTGTAATAAGCGGAATGGACAAAAACAAGTGTTGGTGAATAAATTAGAACCCTCATAGCTTGCTGTTGGAAATGCAAAACGCTGCAGCTGCTTGGTAAAACAATTTGGCAGCTCCTCAAGAAAGTAAATATATAGTAACCTTATGACCAAATTTCATTCCTTCGTATATATTCAAGAGAATTGAAAATGTATGTCTACACAAAAACTTGTATGTGTATGTTCATGACAGCATTATTCATAATAGCAAAAAAGTAGAAACAACCCAAATGTCCATCAACTGATGAAGATGGTATTCACCCAATGGAATATTATTCACCCGTGAAAGGAATCAAGTTCTGACACATGCTATCACATGGATGAATCTTGAAAACATTATTCCAAACGAGAGAAGCCAGACATGAAAGGCCACATAATGTATGATTCCATTCCATTTCATTTCCGTATGAAAAGTTTAGCAAATCCATAGAGAGAGAAAAATCAACTGGCAGATGCCAGGGCTGGAGGAAAGGGGAAATGGGGAGTCACTGCTTAATGGGAATAAGGTTTCTTTTTGGGGTGATGAAAATATTCTGGAATTAGATAGTGGTTATGGTTCTACAACTTTGTGTATATAATAAAAACCACTGAATTGCACTTTTTGAGAGGGTGAATTTTATGGTATATGAGTTATAGCTCAATTAAAAAAAAGAAAAAAAATAAAGTTTGTGAATAGTTGGATAAACTTATTCTATTCTGTTCCCTCCTTTTGTTTCTTTTCCTTTTTTTTTTGAAAGGTGGAAAACGTAGTTTTGAGATGACCTCAATAAAGATCACCTATTATTCACTGTATCTGAAAGTGAGACATCTGTATATTCTCCATTTGCTCTAGTCACCTTAGACTTTTGTGCAAAATTATTGCTACTAATGTTTCACCTTGTGAGTTAATTCAAATTTGCTTTCCTATTAGATGCTTAATGTGACATGAAACATATAATAGAGACTGATGTGTGTTAAGTGTCTTCTGGTACTTATTCTAGAACTTTTTAATTTTACAGCTGTTGAGTTATAACAGCATTAGTGAGGTAAGGTATAGCTGACGTATAATAACTTGCATATAAAGTATGTACTTTGACAAGTTTTGACATATGTATGCAGTCATGGGACAATACCACAATCAAGACAGTGAACACATTCGTCACTGTCAAAAGTTTCCAAGTGCCCCTTAGTAATCTCTCACTCCTGCTCCTCCCCAGGACCGAACAATCACTGATCCCCATGCAACCACTGATCTGCTCTCTGTTGTTTTGAGATTATTTTGCATGACCTAGAATTTTATGTAAATGGCATCATACAGTAAGCACATTTTTTGTTCGGATTCTCTCACCCAGTGTAATTATTTTATTTATTTATTTATTTTAAGATTTTATTTATTTATTTGACAGAGAAAGAGAGAAAGCGAGAGGGAGAGGACGCACAAGCAGGGGGAGCTGCAGGCAGAGGGAGAGGGAGAAGCAGGGAGCCCAACGCGGGGCTTGAACCCAGGACCCTGAGATCATGACCTGAGCCGAAGGCAGACGCTTAAGCGACTGGGCCACCCAGGCGCCCCCCAAGTGTAATTATTTTAAAACTCACCCATAATTATTGAGATTTATACATAGTCTATTCCTTTTTATTGCTGAGTGTCATTCATTGTATGGATAAACCACCTGTTTATCTATCACCTGTTGATGAACATTTGAGTTATTCGCAGATTCTGGTTATTGAAAATGAAGCAGTTATAAACATCTGTGTGCCAGTCTCTGTCCGGACACAGACTTCCTTTTCTCTTGGATAAATACCTGGGAGTACGACGGCCAGGTCAGGTGATAGGAGTATGTTTCGTTTTTAAAGAAGCTGTCAGGACTGTTTTCCAAAGTGATTGTGTCATTTTACATTTCCACTAACAGTGTATGAGAGTTGTTCCTCCAAACAGAAGCATCTTTAAATGAAAAGGAAGGGACCAAGCAGAGAATTAAACAAGCCATTCTAAAGAGGTGCCTAAGGGCCAGGCGTGAGCTCTCTGAGAAACAATGAAATGTGAAAGAAATGAAACCACTGTTCGATGTTGCCTAAAAGTCTCTGTTTTAAGCATCTAAGGCCAAATGGTAAACAGGAGGCCTAAAACCGCCTTCTTTCTGTGCGAACCCGCCCAGTTTTACCACCAACAGTGGGAAACAACACAGTAGGAATGGTACAATTGCTTCTGAAATGACAATGTGAGGAGCTAAATATAATCTCCTGTGTCTGGACTGCAACAACTTCATGTGTAGAACAGTTGGCAGGTTGCACACTTGATTCCAATTAGCTCCTTCCTGGAGAACTTGCTTACAGAGAACACTGTGAGCGATTCCAGTTTCAGGCAAACCGAGTGGGACCAGAGGGAAGTAAGACTTCGGCAAAGGGCGCGTTTCCTGGAGAGGAGCTAAACGAGGCAAGGCCAATCTAACAAGGGGGCAACTCTCCTGATTACAGGGGCTAATCGGCAAAAATATTTAATTAGGAAACTTTTAAAAGAGAAGCAGCACTATTTAAAAAGGAGGTAACGTCAAAGTCGCCCTAAAGGCTCTCCCTACCTCTCTCCCTACATGTTTTAGAACAGGAACTGTAAATACAGTAAATACAGACATAAGCACCATGCTAATAGTAACCATATGCTTGGCCTGGGTATTGGGGTGTAATAGGGAATGGGGGGGAGTATGGTGAACTGGAAAGAGTCCATGCTTCTTTTAAAAAGAGAAGTTATTCAGTCTCCAGTAATCATCACCTTGCGATAAATGCAGGCCCAGTGTTGCTAGATTTGATTTTTCAGGACAAGGGGGAAATCTGAATTTTTAGGTAAAATCAGATTTTTAAATGGTAGCAATAAATTTAAGTTTGTTTGTTTGTTTTTTTTTAAATGTAGTGTGGATCAGAAAGAAACTGTGTGCAGAGCAGAGAGGGCTTGTAGGCTGCCCATTTATAACTTCTGGCAGTGGAGGAGTTCTGGGAAGGCTCTCTCTCCAAATAGTTAAACTCATGACATTGAATGAAATTCTTTTTCAATTAGAGCAGATTAGATACTCTCCTTACTCCCTTTCCCCATTAAGACTTCCTGTTAAAATGCACAATAGTTCCAGGTATACTGGATTCTTTGCCATTTAAAAAAAATCAGCCATTATTGCCTTAGCTGAAATTGAATTAAGACTTTGGAAACTTAAAGTTATAAAGAACATCCAGAGGGGGATTGCATATGGTTACAGATGGCCACTGCTCACATAACTCTAAGGGTGGAGAGTTCAGACCATCCACTCCACTGCTGGAAGGTTTTAGTTGTAAATGTTCCATGTGTTAAGCCAAAATTTGCCTCCCTGATTTCCTCCCCAGCTTCTCCATGGTGGTCTCCTGAAGCTACACATCATAAGCATAATAACTCCTTTCCACATGGGAATTCTGTAAATATCTGAAGATGCTCTTGGAAGTGTCTCCATTCTGTGTGTAAATCTCCGTGGTTACTTCAGTCCTTCCTCATTCCACCAACATCTCATTACCACTCCTGCTGCTCTTTGAGTGGCTCTCCACTACTGTGTCTCATGTGTGGTTTGTACTTTATCTGCACACAGGACTATCTTCCAGAGCAGGCCGTGAGTTTCATGGGTGGTTGGGAGCAAGCTCTCTGCATTTGTGTACTCATGTCTTTTCATATTGCTTGGTACATCGTAGACACTAAGAATTGATGGAAAGAAAGAAGGAAGGAGGCTAGGAAGAAAAGAAAAAGGGAAGGAAAGAAAAAAGCAAGCAAGGAAATGGAAGGAAGGAAGGAAGGGAGGGAGGAGGGAAGGGAGGGAGGAAGGGAGGAAGGAAGGGAGGGAGGAAGGGAGGAAGGGAAAAAAGAGTCAGTGAATTAATTTTTAGCATTGTTTCCAGATCCACCATCTCCTCTTCTATGGGCATGCCTTTGTCAGTGGCATTTTTAAAATGTGGGACTTGGAGCCATGGTCTGAACATGGAATAATAGGACATGAAATTAGCTCTCTTAACCTGGACACTGGATGGCTGTTGATATACTCAAAGATTACGTCAACATTTTTTCCCCTCAGAGGTATTCTTGTTGGCTATCAAGATAGCTATCTTTCTCCTTGTTTTTTCTTTTTCCCTGAAAGAACGGCTACGAAGTCGGGTCTCCCTAAACTGGCATTTGAACCCAAGTTCCACACTTGGCATTTGTCCCACTTATTTGCAGCCTGACCTATAAAGATCTGTGTTGGATCTCAGGTTTGCTGTCCATCCAGTGCATTATCTCGCTGCCTCTCTCAGGGCTCAGTTTGCTGTCAGAACCACGGCTGATGGTGAGCTGTCGGTGAGAGCCAACTGAGATCATTGTCTTGGGGGAATGCAGTTGTCAGCATAGTGTCCAGAACAGGACAGGCCTGGGTGGAGCTCCGCAGCAGGGGCTGCTCTGGGGGCCTGGGAAGGAATGCAATTCACAGAGAGGGGTGGGGCTGAGCAGAAAGATTTCTGATGAAAGTGAATTTCACCTTTTTCAACAGATTTTTCTAGGGCTCGGTCCCACCATGATATTTTAGAATTGCGAACATTCCGCTACTTCCTGTTTCCTTTTGCGTCCAACACATATTGAGTTAATCATTTTGCAGGTACTCTAGAATTTTTCAGTGTTCTCCCCAATTTTGTTTCAGTAGAGAAACACACAGGCATGTTTTTCTTATCTGGATATGTTATCGACATCAGGATTCTCACATTGACGTTCAATCCTCACGACAATGATGTTGATGATAATGCCACCTTGTTCTGTAAAACAGTTTGTGCTTTTCAAAGCACCCTCATGTAAATCCCTGGGTCTTCGCAGTAGCCTAATGAAAATCACACAGTGGGTACGCTCAGGTCTACCTGACAGGAGTTTACTACCGTGGGCAATGAAATGGGTGCCAGTGCTTCGGGAAAGCCACTTACTCCAGAGAATGATCAGCAATAGACCTTCGGGGAAATCCATGGTAGAACTTCTGGTGTCAGGGTATCTTTTGGAAGTTTCCTTTTCCCCTTTGTAAGTTATTCTCTAAATAGCATGTTTTAATCCTGAGGATTCTCATTCAAGAGAGGTGGGAGCTTGTCTTTTCCAAAAGCTAGGGCTAGCTTCCTTTATTGTGCCTTGTATTAATTTTTTCTTCATAAAAAATAAAGGAAATAGAAGTGCTTACTCTGATGCAGGAAATTATAGCTGGTCTTCCTTGGATCAGATTGACCAGAGATTTGTCTATTTTATTGGTTCTACCGGAGAAATAGCTCTTGCAATGATTTATCAGTTGAATTGCTTTCATCTGTTTAAATTCATTAATGCATTTTAATCTTTTTTTCTTATATTTCCTTAGTTTAAAAAAAATCTTTTACTCACTTCTTAATTACTTATTTTTCTTTCCCATTTCGTAAGAAACATTACAATCTATGAATTTGCTCTTGTGGACCCTGGTATTTCTGTGCCATATTCAACAAGCTTATATATGTGGTGTTTTTATTGTCTCACATCTCAATGGTATATAAAGGAGATGCTGGTTTTTACTACTCTTTGATTCAAGAATTATTTTGGAAGATATTTTCTGTTGTCCAGCTGGTGGAGATTTGGTTTTTATTTTGGCCTTGTTCTATCTTTGGCCATCAGTTTCTGATTTTGCTTCATTTTAATTAGATAGTTCAAAGGTACGATATTAATTTCCTACAGTTAAGTGAAAGGAGTTAATAAGGGTCAAATAGGCAAAAATCAGTGCATTGTTTGTTGAAGAGATAATGAATCGAGACATTCAGCCAACATTCATTGACTGACCATGTATTAAGTGCCAGGTACTCTGTTAGGCAGATAAGAGCCTTTGTCTGCAAGAACCCTACAAAAGGGGAATTGATTATGTTATGAATTAACAGGAATTGTATTAATTGTCTTTAGACTTTCTGATTCGCTATGAGGTTGCAACACATCCAGTTTGCATGTTGCTAAACTGCAAGTCTGGGTTTTCTTTATGAATGGGGTAATTGCATAATTAAGGAACTTCCCTATTACCTAATTATTTGAAAATGAAGGACCTATACAAGTAGGAGAGGTGGATTTACCTTGAGCTAATGAACCCTAATTGAGGCTCCTCACTGCACAGACCTCTTATGAGGAGGCCCTGGCACTGGGAACAGGGGATCATATGCTTTTGTCAAATTTGAGAAGGTAAGATTTTTCACTTCTTTTTCTTAAGAGGTTCTCCTGGATCAGCTCCACTTCTTTTCAGAGCAGGATGTTGGTGGTGATGTATGGGAATCCGGTATTTCTGCAATACTCTCGCAATTAGTTCCCGTGAAAGAAGAGGATTTGGACAGACTTTTTCAAACAACTGACGTGTTGCTTTTTCCTTTTCTTTTCTCCCTAGCAGCAAAATTTTTTTAGCCATTTCTACTCCTATTTCCACCCTCCCCCTTCCTGCCCTGTCTCCCCACCTCCCCACCAATGAAATGAATGTGATGTGAATTCAAAATACCATCATTTGTAGGAGACCATTTAGCACTTAATTTACCTCCTGCACATATGGTGGATGGTTCAGCTGCTAAAATTTCGATGCAGGACTTCTTCAAAATCTAGAAAGAGAGGAAATCAAAAAGTCAAAGCACAGCTTATTTTATTAGAAGCAGGGTTTTGCTTTTAGTTACCAAGACGGGTAGGTTCAAGGACATTATGTTGTAGTGGGTGGATGGGTGGTAACATCTTTACTCATATTATTAACACCAAACATTTAATGAGCCAACATTGTGCTAGATGCCTCTGGGTGTCCCCAAAGCCGTAAGAATTATTCATTCATTTGTTCTTTCAGCAGATACTTCTTGAGTCTATGATATGCCAATCTTGGTTATGGAGAGGTTTGACATCTGGTCAGGGAAATGGGACTTCCACTAGAAAAGATAAATAATGATGGTTTGTCATTGAGGTAGCTGCCAGGGTGACGGGGCAGATGGTAGGATCTGCGGAGTTCATAAGGAAAATCACCGAGGGCTGGCACATTGGGAAGGGCTTCATGGAAGCTGTGGGCACTGAGGGTAGGACTCCGTCAAGTGGAGAGGAGGGAGTTAAGGGAAGGTTGGGATCCAGGCAAGGAATGGCATGAGCAAAAGCAAGAAAGTAGAAATACATAAACCTCTTTAGCTGGAACAAAAGGAGCTGGGAAAATAAGAGTGATACTACATAAAGCTGGAGAGGTAGGATGGAGAATCATTTTCAGATTACTCAGAGTTCCCCTTTCTGTTCGAAAAGTCTGGAAAGATGTTTCGGGAGAGGACATTGAAGGCTGCTTGTTGTGCCTCACTCTTTGGACCCCGATAGTCTTACTTAAATGGAAATGCTCTCTTCTCTCCAGAAGAGCGTCTTGTAGGGCTGAGAGGAGAGTTTCAAGGAACCAAGCCCATGACTGCACAGGGAGTTAATCAAGGCCGCTTTGGGCCAAAGCAGGATATCTGCCTGGTGGGGTGTAAGCTTCTTTCCACCATTTATGAAACCCGTGTCTTGCTGAATACTGATTCTCAAACTTCATCCAAGCATTTTAAACAAGTATAGGACACTGAGTTAATTTACCAAGCAAATGAAATCTCTTTATTTGGGCCTTACTTAATTTGGAAATTGAGGTGGTTCAGAGGGCTGAAGGAAACCATTTCTCTATTTATGAAAGGAGCATTTGTTGAAGGAATTAATAGTGAAATTATAACATTTAAAGTGTAGAAAAGAAGAAAAGCATCTTTTAGCATAGAGAAACACCCATTTATTTGCATTGATGTACTTATATATGCTTCTTTGTCCCAGCTGAAGTGATACAGACACCACAAGATACAATCAAATGAAGGATACAATAAATTGCAAAAGGGGAGGATATGGGTTAAAGGAAAAATAAGGGGAAGATGAGGTAAGGAGTGAGAATAGCATAGAGAAAATATACTGTGAAGAGCTTATTTCCTTGCTAGGAGTGGCTCACGGATTTAGTTCTAAACTTTCTAGTAGCGAATGAGAAGAAGGTCAGGCAATATTTATGAGATTCTCAATCGGTGGAATAAAAACAAATCAGTTTCTCAGAAGAGATAATATTTACCCATTCCAGAGAGAAAGCTGGGCGTCCTCATAGAGAAGCATTGTGAAAGGAAATGAAGAACATGCTTCAGAAAATCTTTATCTGATGTACAGAAGACAACACGCTAAAATGTAGTCATTGAAACAGGCTCTCTCACAACCATGTGTTTTAGGTAAGTCTACAGACGCAAAAGTCGTAAGAAGCACTATTTCTTTTTTTTGACAATTCTAAAATTCAGGTTTCCAGCTAACTTTTCCTGACATTCCTTCCCACTCTTGTACAATTTAAAAGCATTTTCATACTTTGATTCCTCTATTTGTTTTCGGCTTCTACAAGATGCCACAGTAGGGAGCAATTTGTTCCTTTTTGTCAGCACTTGCCTAATATCTTTGGCCTCTGATTTACCCAGCCACCCACCCACCACCCCGCACTTCAAACACAGGGATAGACTCAGATCCCCACTGGTGCCAGGGCCTGTTCCGACAGCAGGGCACACATGCACCGATCTCCCCAAATCTGTGCCCATCTCGGGGAGAGCGTGTGGTCCTCACACACCTGGCCCTGGGGAGCTGGTATTACCCCTGAGTTCCTGAGTTCCCTTCATTGTCATTCTGAATTGGGATCAGGGACCCCAAGGATCTATGTGGGGCATCCGGGTTTCCCTGCTGGCTTCTCCGTCCTCCCCATTCCAATGGTTTATCCAGCCCTTTAGTTCTCTTATGGAGGTAGCAATGCCCTAGGACAAGGGCTTGCCAGAATCCTAGTGTGCAGGGACTCATATCCCAAAAGACAACTGTCCTACTTGAACAGTGAGGACTGTCCACACCCTCTCCCAACCAAGTTTGCTGCCTGAAGGGCCACCTCAGCCAGTGGCCGCCTTGACTGAGGGAGGTAGCCACCCTTCTGCATGTCCTTAGGCACAAATCTCCAAACAGGACACATCAGAAGAAACAGAATTAACCCATATGGAGAAACTTAGTAAACAGTGGCATTAGAACAACACAAAGCTATTTTTTTTATGTTTTGAATAAAATTCCTCAGGCACTTGGCATCTCTTAATAAATCATTTTATCATCCACAACTAAAGATTTCAAAATAATCCCAGAATAAAAATTGAGCTATTGGATCTATCTTGTCCCCATTCCCAAACTCCATCAAAACACATAAATGAAATTTTCATCCATGTAAGTTCCTGACTTTGAACCAACTTTAATACTTAACCAGAGGTTGGTAAAGGAAACACCCGTGAATCTCTGACCACAAAGACACACTAGCAGGTTTTGTCATAATAAACACATGCTGTATTATTCTCTCAGAGTGTCTGCAATTAGTTGATAAATCTAAGGAGTGTATGAAGGGCCAAAAAATGTCAGCCAAGCACTGTGATTCAATCCAGTAAAAACACAGCTTTCCCAATCTTAACTTAAAACATCTGGAAGGGATGCATTGTAGCCAATAGAGCAAAATTTATCAGTGAGGGGGATGGGCAGGATTTGTCTGGGACTGTGGCTTCTATTAGTTTGAAATGTCTGGTTTCAAAAGGTAGGAAGTCACGATGGCAGTAGGTGGAATTGGGGGGGTTCCCTTGGTTATTAGTAGCCCAGACTGTAATCAGCCTGTCTGAGCTGCAGCAGACAATAGATCAGCTTAGGGTCTGGAGACTGGATGGGGGTTGGGGGCAGGGGAGCAGAGGATCTTTCCCCCACTTGAGCAGCGGTAGCCATGGAAGAGGTGCAGATACAGCACTGGGAAATTGCTTGAGGGAGTGGAACGGACTCACACAGGGTCAGGGTGATGTCAGAGATGAGAGTACATTGGCTTCTGATGGAGACTGGGCAAAGACCACCACATGCCTCAAGTATAATCCAATGTGGGGAGTGGGTCTTGGCCCTGGTTCTGTACTCACCTGACCTATGGTCCTTGACATATCCTTTAACTTTTCTGAATCCTAATTCTGGGGAGCAGTTTAATATATGGAGTATAGCCTGGAATCTGGAATCAAATTGCTTGGGTCAACTCCCTCATGAGCAGTGTGACCTTGGGCAAGTTCCCCAACCTCTCTGAGTCTCTGTTTCCTCACTTATAAAAGTGGGATAAGAACAGTACCTACTGCATAAAGTTGTTGAGTTGGGAAGATTAAATGAGATACTACTGGCAGAGCCCATAGCACAGGGCCTGGAACCTGGTAAGTTCTCAACTAATGGTAACCATTATTCTTAAGAACTTGGGCTCTGGAGACAGGTAAGATACATTTGGGCTCTGAATAGATTTATGTTCACATCTGAGCCCTACCACTTTCTGGCCATGTGGACTTGGACAAGTTATTAAAGCTCAGTTTCCTCTTCTGTAAAAGGGGGATAAGAAACACTGACCTCATGGGGCTGTATGATGGTAAAATGAATAATTGATATAAATGCAGAGACATTTAGCTTGTAAATTCATTTGGACTTTGGTGGTCAAATTCACATGGGATTGGGGAGTCAGGAAGGGAGTGAGATCAAGGAAAACCGGCAAGTTTTTTGTCTTATAGGCAGAACTAGACAGATGTGATTTGTCAGTAGCTAGTCATTTAACAGCCCTTGGGCCACAGCCACCAAGTGCCCTTCATGAAAATAAGGCACGAAGAAATGTGCTCAGAACATTCTCAGCAGTAAAGCACTTAGGAGAATGTCTGACATGTATTTGGTTCCAGACAATGGTAGCAGATACTATGACTTTTGGTAATACTATTATTGCTACCTCTCTTGGGCAGACAGTAGCTCATATATGCTTCTAACCCATCACCCACCACTGGCTCCTGCTTAATCATACTTGCTGGGAAAAAACCCGAAAGATGGCTAGTAATATTTTCCTGTCATCTTTTGGACAGATTTCAAAAAGAAGATAAACAGGGAAGCACATTTGAAATCCATAAAGAACTGTAGCAATGCGATGTGTTGCTACTGGTATGGTTACTTTTGCTCATCTCATTAGATTGTTGGGGGAGTAAGAGGAGAAGCAGATGTAAAACAACTCTGCCAAGTAATAAAAACGATTCAATATATTTAAAATGAAATCTATTGTGGACCAGTACAGGTTGTATATAAGAGTTTATTTTTTTGGTTTCTAAAACTAGTGTCTTTTTTCATAAAGTTCACGGTTTCTGCCGAGATTTCTCAAGAATCCTTAAATAATTGTGAATACTCACATAGAGTTATCAGGAACCCCTCCCTTACCATACACATCCCTATTTTTTTTTCCCTAATTGCCCTGCCTCCTTCTCCAATAAACAATTGATTTTTATTTACTTGGCCATGTCCTGTTAAAAGATTTTTTTTGTGTCCGTTAGTAAAGACCAGCCTCTTTTTCCGTTCATAGTATAGGGCCCTTTTGCTTCCACGCATCTTTCAGAAAGTCTTTCAGAGCACGTTTCTTAGTGTCTTAATTGTCGTGAAGAGCACATTCTGGTTTTAAGATGTTTGGAGCTTGAGGTAGGCTGGCCCAAGGTTAGTTAACTACCTATTGACTGGTTATGTCTGTGTAGTT